TAAGTTATGCTCTTTGATATTCCACAGGTTCGTGTGTGTTCTACCCGAATCTAATCTTTAGAAGACCTGCCATGTGAAATATATCTTTGAAGATCAGAATACGGAATAGTCTTGCCAATTGCAGTTGCAAGTCTGGCGATTGTTGGAGTGATAGAGCACACAGAAATACGCAGAAATTACATTCTATCTTTCTATCGAGAGTACATTACCACTGTAACAAGGCTATGGATCTTAACCTGTTCCTGTATTGATTGTTTGCAAAAAATGACCTTCTTTGTTCTCAAGAGTAAACATATCGACTCTCTGCAGGGCTGGTCACTGGGAGTCATTACCCGTGACAAAACACACGAGTCTATCGGTCGGTATACTTTGAGGGATAGCGAATGGTAGAAGCCCATGGCGTTTTTGCATTTAAGGGATAAGCCTATAACCTAGATAGATATGTCTGGACAGTCCAATTTCGCATCAATTTTACCTGGCGCCAATGTCACGTCCCTTCGATTTTACAGTACGTATTTCTTATCATACACATAGTCCAGAGACGGATCTTTTCTGTCACAAAGAGATGAACGTGCCACTGACAAGTTAAGTGTATCGATAAGGGGAAAGAGATAGGCTGTCAGAAACTGACTCTTTCAAAAGTTGCATGGAAATGAGAGTACTTCTGTTATCACACGGCAATATACTTCCCTCTGGATATCTACACAAACTTTAGGTTCCTGTCTAGCCATCAGGGTGAATATGAATTAATCATATATGACTGGACCATTTATCAGAGACGAAAAGTCTTTTCCTCTGTAGGGAAAGTACATAAAACAAATCCTGGATTTCCCCAGCACGACCAGGTAAAATGTTAGCGCATCTAAAAATAGCTGACGTGTCGTGCTGATACTGAGCTCGGTACACGAAACCTGCAGCTCCAGCGGACACAAAATGTAGCGAAGGGATGAACGTACAGGCTAATGTAGCACTTAATTCTGTATACTGTGATACCTACAGATCATTCTCTTATCTATATGTGAGCTGCATAAACTATAAACCTACTCTATTCCGTACGCCGCACTAACCTGCAAAGCGTGTCTACTATATATGCTCGGCAGTCTGAAATGATAGATCTACAATTCAAGTTTTCACTTATTATTTATTGGTTTATTTGTATCAACATATCAACAACATATCTCGCAGCCTTGACATACATGGCTGAATTCTGATGTTTGTTTACATACAAATTTAGGTATTTACAATCTTACAATCGTACACACTGTAACAATCTTACGTCGTACAAACCTTATATCACTTAAGTTTTAACTTTGAGGGTGTTTGAAGTTACTTGTATCATGTAACTAACTATGTTGTCCTTGACTTTGTCTGCGTTGGTGGCGGCATGAAGATAGGTTGAAAAAATTTGAGTGTGCCGTCACCAGGTCATGTGATAAATGTTGGAATAAATAAAAAAAACATTGACGACATCGCCAAACACACGCCACAGACCACCATGCCGCCTATTTTTGTGGGATATTATGTCATTATGTGCATTTACTGCAATCACTGTGGCTCCAGCCTCCAGAAATTACAACAAACATAATTCACTACAGGCGGCGTCCCACGTAAGCCTCGGTAATACTTGGTTACAGATACAGACGCCGACTATAGCCTGTGGTCTCCGAGACATATAGATCTGGGCACGAAACTACTCTAATTATTGTCTTCTTTCAAAGTGGAGTAGACATGGTTAATAATGAAGACTGATAGGTCTAGCTAGCATTGTCCTGAATGCGTGCAGGCTGATATTGGTACGCTGGAATATACCATTTATATCCTTTCTTCTGATCGTGTCTTTTGTTTTAAGCACGGTCCTTTTTGGTATCATCCGTCGCTTACTTGTTCTAATATATTAGTGATACAATAACATACAGTTTGCAATTTGACTATTTTCACTAGTTAGCTTCATGCCTGACGCAATAGCCAGGGCAATTGGGCAGATATGCTCTTAGAAATCGTCTCAACCCGAGAACAAAAAGGCTGTTTGGTTTTAGTACGTTGATTAATCAGATCAATATATCAATAAATGCTATATTTTGTCGCTAATAGCTGCATGACACCAAGTTCGATTCAAGGATTCAAGGATCTTAAAGTGTTGATTAAAAAATTACATTGGTAAGAATATATATTTTTTTGCCATTTAACATTGCCCAGCGAATGTAGCCACGAAATTATCCCGAGGCAAGTCTGAAACGTAAGTACGCTTTCTTTAACACAGTTGAGAAACTGATAAATGTCTCATAGTTCTCAAGACACTACTAACGCATTTTTACGCAACATCGAAGCTAAAGGTGAACATAGAGGTAGATAAATGATCACCTTTCATCCCGTGGCTTAGAGGGGTCTACCGGTAATTGTCATTATATTAGCTGGTCCGATAACACAATATTGGGGCATGCGGGTGTTGTGATAATGATGCAGCAACCTACGGGCTGCCAACAGCTAAATGCTTCATGCACCATTGACTCTCAGATAACTGACAGAATTTCCTTTGAAAATTTCTGTATTCTTGCTCCAAGCACACGGTTGATTGTCCATGATGCTGTATATAATAGCCCTGCCCAGACATGTTGTGGCCATGTAATGGCAGAATATTACGAAATCATGATTCCGGCTGCAGGGGGATGTTTCTTCTGGTAAAAGACTGTTCTGTGTTCCGGTCCAACATGAAACCGCACATTCAGGTAGGAAATATGCTCATTAACTGTGGGGAACAAGACTTGAAGAATGTCTTATAACTAAAAACCATCATTAGCTCTATATGATCGTACATCTACAACTGCCTCAAGAAGCGAGAAGAAGTTGAGCATGTAAATAGTAGATCACATTAGCATGTATAGTCTAAGTGTTTTGCCGTATTCTTTTTCGTTTATTCATGACATGTACTTAGCTTGTAAGAGCATACACGTACAATAAAGGTCTTGCATTCATTCACTAACCCTCATCGTCTCCCAATTAATACCGTTGCTTATACAATCTGAAACCTTAACATTTTCTATGCTTTTAGGTCGTTTTTTTTGTGTTAAAAAATCTAATGGCATCGATAAGCCGGGGGAAATAGTGACTCTATACGCAGACATGAACTCCTGTCAGGAACTACAGATCTGCCTTCCTGGAATCTAGATCAGAACTTGGACCATCTATACGGATGCCTTGTAATGCGGTATAAATGTTGAGGATTGTTCCGTTATGTCTTGGAGCCCTGAATATATGATTCAAATACATACTTTATCTTTAAATAAAGAATGACTGAAAAGGTGCAAAAATGTTATTTCAGTGATCTAGTTGATACCCATCGTTGTACATGTGTCCGCTTTATCAACGAGGGCATTTTGTACTACCGGGCCAACTACATGCACCGTGATACATCATGTACAGGATTAATCAATAATTTAATTCTTCTCCGCCTCAACCAGCATGGTTGTACAATCACCAATACATGTCCGAATCCTCGGCGCCTCAGGACATACCAGTTTACTCCCCTGTCTATAGCCACGCACAGTAAACCATCACTCATGCTCTCGTGCAGGTTTACCGGGCCGGCTGTGCGGTCTCTAGGCGGTAGTCCGGAGCCAACAGCAGGCTTTATCTCTGACAGGTGTGATCTAGGGTCTCCTCTCAATGGGAATCCCATAGATTTATCCGGATGTAGGTATGGAATTCCAGTCCCTTCCTTTGTGGTAGAATCATAGTTTACAATTATACCATCTATAGAGGTTATGTTTATTGACAATAAACTACAGTATTATACAACATTGTATTGTACGATACTGTCCATTTCGAAGAAATTACCAATTGCCTAAACACGATGATTTTCATTGTTTTGGAACAGTGCTTAAAAGCTTAGTGTTGGTATAAATTCCGACACTATTCTGAAAAGAGATAAACTGTTACTGATGCCTGTAAATGCGCATTAATGTGCAAGACTTTTACTACGATCGTCATTATATTGCTAGATATTAATGCACACAAACGGTATTCTGAAGCCTTCTTTCATAAAAAGATGATGGCTTGAGGTAAATGTTCCATTGGGAATCCAATATAAATCTTGGCACAAGAAGATAATTGTAGATGTCACTACCGGCACTGATATGTCATTATTCCGGCACTGTTATGGTTACTGCACGATCCTTATTCGCTAACGCCAGGAGCACGTAACTGACAGAATATATACCGTTGGCCCACTAACATATACGCAACATCACTGGGAATTTCTTGAGATTGACATCCGATGACTTCAGAGAAATAGAAATTGCATTCTGTATTATCAATTCTGCAATTGGATTATCTCCTACCAGACATAACAGGACGTTGTCAGTTTCTTGTATTCTCCCGATGTGCAACGCAAAAGGGTCACGTGGGAAGTGCATAAAACATAGAAGTTGCAAGCGTACGAGTGATAGCCGCAATAACTGGAACTATAAACCTGTTACGTGAAGTTAACAAACGGAAAGGCTCATACGTTATGACGCTCTAGGTCTGCGAGCGACATATTTTAAGGTTCTTAAAGGACTCATATCTGTATTTATATCTTATTTTGCTTGGTGCAAGGATTGATCAGATTCGAATTCATGAATTCCAGATTTTTTTAGTGTTTTATGAGTTTTAGAAAGTTGAGACAAAACTCTCCTAAACGTGAGCCTGCCCTATAAGCTGCTGTAATTCCCTTGACAATTTACGACATCCACTAGTATTCCTTAGATAAATCCAGGGGTATCACTTCAAATTCCACAGACTATTAATATTCATAGAGGATTGCTGTACCGGAAAATACACAGCCAGTGGCTTTCGGACTTGAGGATTGATATACTTTCATGTTTTCTGGTGTAGAAAACATGATAGATGGGGCTGTTCACGATTCTTGTGGTAATTACATTAGGCGTGGCACAGCGGGTGCACCACACACGGGGCTGACACATTAGCTGGTGACTTCCTGACAGCTCCCCATATTACGGTCACAAAGTGGGATAAACAAGTCTGTGTGGCGCTGCCGCTGCGGGGCTCTGGTGTGGTTATTAAGGAGCTGGACCCGACGCCTCTGGAGTCACTTCTTCCAGGAGAGCTCCGCAGTGTGTGTGCTAGCACTCGTGAGGCGGAGATCGAGACTGTGTAGTCGCTCGGAGAGCTAGATGACTAGACGCGGCCTATCTCTTTGTCAGGGACTGACATCTCTGAGAAGAAAAATGGAGTCACGGAGGACTGAGTGGGCGTTTCTTGTCATATTGCTTGTTCTGTCCCGCGTTGTGAAAGGTAGGGTGTTTATTATTACTACTGCACGCATTGCAAAAACCGCAGGTACTTTTCATAAGGACTTAGCGATTTAGCTGAAGTATTGAGATTTAAATGAAAGTGACGTTTGTTGGTGGAATCGTAAATAACTTGTGGCAAAGCGTTTAGTTACAGTTTGACTACGTACTTGATCTATGCTGGGTGTACTGTAAGCTTGTGCTGACTCAGCTTAGTTCCGACATGTTTAATACTAGTATTTATTAGAGTAATGTAGAACCTCTATCAAACCCTATTTCAATGGAAGTGCGTAGCACTATAGCGTAGCGTTCCATCTATAACAGGAACGAATATATGTTCTATCACAGTAGAAATAACTAAATCGTGTATAGCACTGGTACCAGAAGATTCTAGGTCTTTGAAAATAGCCTGATTAGTCTATCATGAAGAACTCACCGCCTTTCTATAATTTGATTAAGCCCAATCTATGCCTTGAATATTACAACAAAGCGCCCTAGACCCGCGCACGCTTTTATTAGTCCTTTCATCCTAGTATCCATCAAGAATTCTGTTATCAAAGTGGAGCGCCGAAAATGCGATAGTAGCAAATATGTCCCGGCGATATCATGGCAGGTTTCCGTGCTGTTATCACTTTTCCGATAGCGGCTACAATATGGAGGTGACACAGTCCGATAGCTACCGGCAAAATTCACAGGGCAACAAAACCTGCTAGCATATGAGAATCAATACACAAATATACAATTCCTGAAACACTATGGCGACGTCTTAATAAAAACGACAATATACGCTGATAATAAACGCCTAATCTTTATATTTCGTCAGATACGCCTACATTTTGAAATATATTGATGGCACATTTTATGTATCTATTAGTACGTCTTCGTCAGAAGATGTTTTTCCTCGATAACCATAATTGCTACCACGGATGGTTGGAAATAGTAGAATAATCTAATTATGTACTTTGAGGTCTTCACTTACAATGTTTAAGAGACTTCAGCGCGACCATTTACTTTAATCTGATTTAGATATTGCAGAATTGAAGCTAATGATGTCGCTTTTCCGATGGGTCCTGATTAGAATATCGAATTTCATCACCCAAATCATAGCTGCGCGTTTTCAAAGGCTTACCATTCACGTGTTTGAACATTAATCAGTGACTCCAAAGCTGAAGGAGAAATGCGCATGTATAACGGTAACTGTGGGTGCCCCGTTTATTGCTTAGAATTCCCATTTAACACCACAGAGGACAGAGAAGTCACTCAATGCGGAACGGTGGGGCCCAAAGGTACAAATACAACGGGCAGAGCTATATCCCTTTTGATAGGAAAACATCTTCAGACCACTCTGTATAATTTAGTCACTCTCTTAGGGTGGATCAAATATATCTTCAGTTATTAGGAGCATCATCTCCCTATTTCCCATGTGCTGTTGCAGCACTTTTCCAAGTGTGAGACTACAAATTCAATCCGTGCTCCGGAACCCATCTTCTTCAGTAGCCTGCCTGTACACTTAATCGGCAGTAATCCTCTTCGTGGCAAGTAATGGAGCAGAAATGCTGTCTATTACCGCCGTTCATTCGACCCCCGTATTCGAAGACAATTACCTGGGTGTAATATGCTTTCTGGTGATTAAGCGAGGCTATTCCAGTCCTTAGTACTTCTCTCTACTAATCTGTCTACTTGATCTTTACCGGGTGTTGGTTTCGTTGCGTGTCAGCAGGGATGTGCAGGCCGGAGATCAATCAATAAAGAACTGCCCAAGGGAAGTTCTGCGCCTGCCGGGTACTTTTGCTCCTTGCTAAAGCTTAATGTGGTTGGATTGGATTTCCGTAAGGTTTTTGCCTACACACAGTGGCACTTTGCGTGCTAGCACTTAGCCAAATCATAGCTGCTTTTCCATTAGGTTCGGACAGTAGGAATTTTCTATTTTTAATCTACACGAATGCAGGTACATCCTGACTTTGACTCATCCAATGTAGAGCTGTCTATACATATAAAGATATAGTTTATCTATTGCCGTACGCCATACATTAAGGTAGAATGAGTTACTAGTCTAATTACTTTGTCTTTTATTGAATTGATGTTGTTCAAGCTACTGGAGACGATCGTTTACTCCAAATCTACAGACGCGCCGTGTAAATCTTTAACTTTATACGAGGGGACCTAATATTAAGATATTTCCTTAGTGGTTTGATGTTGCAATAATAATATGTTCGTTAGAGGATCTACAGTCTGCACCTGTCCCGTGCATGCTTTCTCCAAAGCCCTCAGCCGATTCCGCGGCAATCCGGCTGAAGTGGATGATGTCAGAACCGTAGTCCCTCGATGAATCTGAGGCAGAAGGGATCTGTGACGGCAATAAACAGCATAGCCCCGAAAAGATCGTGATTGACGTTTCCCACCCCTCACTTGATTGCATCGCGCGCAGTTTGCGTGAAGTATTAGTCAACAACACTGACTTCTTTAGACATTTTCCATTGCAAATCAAACCCGGAGCCCTTCGTCTTGTTACCCTCCTACATTTCTCGCCAACTTGGTGAGTCTAATGGCATGGTATTATCAGGCTCGACAGGTAAATCACGGTTCCCAACACATTCCTGACTGTCCAGTGAAAGCTCGGAGACCTTTGCTTCTCGGCAGGTAATTGCCTGCCTGTCCGTCAAGCCGTCCTGATTGTTACCGGCTTGACACTATTTCTCTGGAGGGGTAACGTCGACTGAGTGGAGTAGCAATGAGATACATGCAAGGAAAAGAAGCCGCTGTAATAAGGCAGGATATTTTTTTCTGGACAGCGCCAAGTTATTAGTAATATTCTATTGAAATCTGCTAGAATCCATAGTTATACTGTTTAAACTTTATTCCAACACATGAGAAACGCTTACCATGACGTTTTAGTACACCATCGTCAGATGATCTGATTCATTTCGATAACTTTCTGGAACCGCTTTTAGATGTACAAAAATAGACCAGACACCACTTAATAACCCCTTGACTACCATTAGAACATTGCGACTGCACATAAAAATGAAATAAACCCAGTGGAATTGCTACAAATGCACAACATACACCTTTAGACAACCATCGACAACCAGACTTGTTTAGTCAAGACACACTGTCGGGTCTGAGAGAATAACATTCACATTTCCTTGGGATGCTATCATTACGACGAGACGACTTCACTTGAAAAGGAGATAGACCCTCCGGTATTGCTTAAAATGTACAAAATAAAACACTTAAGCAAACCCTGACTGACAGACAAGCCGTACAGAGACGGAGTGTCTGAGTGCCGAGATGATATTTTAGATGAAATCTCACTTATAAAACCCACGCAATAGCGCTTTGCAGAAGTAAACTTGTTTACAGATAGCAGAAGCAATGTATCATATCATATCATATCCAAGTGGATGTCAGCTGCAAAATACTCAAGTCTAGTTAATGAAAATAGCAATATTGGTGGCCTCAGAACTTCTTTATGATAATTCCGACATGATGCTAACGGATTAGAAGCTGTACATTTTATTAAAAATCATACACAATTTGATTGACGCAGGGAGATTTATATCACTTCAACGTTTCGCAATGTAAAGGACTGTTTTCTCTCACTTTCATGTTGCAGCAAACACTAATATCTAACTTCAGATAAATATATACCATTAGGATATCTTAAATGGGTTTGGTTTGCGTACAGGCAAAGCAGTATTCAAATAAAGTTTATATTTAAAGACTAGACATAATCATGATGAATTGTAAATATGAAGAAATTGAAGCTTTTGGAGTAGCTCATAATAAGTTTTTTTTTTATGTGAGGCGTTGGCTATCTGCACCAAACGGGTGGGCGGGCTGTCACCTCCCATCAGCCGCGGGGCAAGAGAGTGGATTACGGTGTAGAGATACGGAGTCATCGGGTAACCAGACCACCAGACGTAAAATCAAAGAAGTAGACATGGTGTCAGCACGTAGCCATAACCATCAGACATGAAATCAATTCTGAACAGCGGGTAAAAATTGTACAAATCGTTCTCTCAGACAGACACATAAATCATCAGGAAACAAATCACAAGACCAGCTCCCCTGGCGCTTTCAGGAGTTTGAAGATTAAAAAAAACAAGAATACTACCTCTGGTCTCTCAGTCACTGACGAAAGCTAGTGGATACTAGCTGAAACCTCTGACCGATTCCAAAATCATATCCAGTTGCTTGGGTAACTGCTTTTTGGTGTAAGAATACTACCTGCCCACCAATGGTACATTTTAAAGTATAAGTTGCGTGTCCACGTGTTAATTCAACACACTATGGAATCAGGTTCTCGTTTTTGTGATTTTTAAACTAATAACTTACAGTATGGTTTATCTATGGTTTTATTACCTAGAGTGTATCTATAGTTTATTTGCCAGCAATACATATATCCATTGTCACATGTATAATAAATCCCGCCTATCTACCGGCACAATCATATTTGAGGTTTTATTGCTAATGACGTTCGTGACTTTGCCTATACATATCCGTACAGTTGAAGTATCAGTGCAATTTATCTTTCATGTGTGTTCAAAGTAGATTCCACACAGAGTATGCTGAGCCCTAAGAAGTATTCGACAAACCTTGATTTGTCACACATTGTCCAATTTAAGCACGGATCAAAATTTGCTTGCCCTACGGATTGGGTACCACATATCAATCATGAATTTCACATTCAAGTCCCTGAGGAAATAGAATATTCACCAACACCCCTGAGTACCGATGCCAGTTCAGATGAGTTGTGCTATGCAGAAAAATAAAACTTTTATTCGTTGTTCTGCTAGTCTCATCTCTAACAGTCGTTTGGCATGCAGGATAACTTGCCTATTTTCCAGGACCCAGCTGTGTAGACCGGACATGTCACCGCCCCTGCACACGAGGACAATATACGCTAATCTTTAATGAGCATTGCCAGATGGTTTTCCTCACCTCCGGCCTTGCTCCAACTTATCCCACGCGGTTATACACACCGGACAATAATGCTAGGACAGTTTTAGGATGCTCTGGGACGTAAATTTCTGAATTGATCGACACTGACAATAAATCCCATACTTAATACATTTTTCACATGACCCAACGCTGGTGTTATATTCGTCATGGAATTCGTGATAAAAGTCGGACAGAATATTACTTTGGAGTGTAATCGGTGCTCCGGTAGTAAAAATGTGCAATTATGTAATAAACGGCGCTTATTCGAGCATACACAGTCCGCAAGCAAAAAATAGCCAAGTCAAATTACCGAAACCTCTGAAGGCGACAGGTTTAGTTTCTAATTCAAATGTCTATCGCTTCTAGCCCTCCATGGACACAACAACCCTAGGCTTAAGCACACTTGCTGGGACTTTTGAATTGCATGAAGAAAAGTTCGTGACCCCAATTATGACAGAAGCCATTGATTTATTCCCAGATGACGATTCGCAGTCTGGCGTGATCGTCAGGAGGGAAAAGCCAATTCAATGGCACTGGTTTCATATCATAAAGGTTGCCAGTCCGTGTCACCATACAAATATTTATTCCAATACGACTGAAGGATCCCCACATGCTATCATATATCTTACAGGAAGTCTCTGCAATATTAATGTGCAATACGTCAAACAGAAAGTTCCATATGGAACACTACACCGCTGTCTTATGTCATCTGCTCTGTGCTAGGAATCTTTGTACCTAAATAAGTAAATACGTCTTACTCCTTGAAGATACCATTTAACACACTAGTAGACTACTGTATCTCTTCACAAGAAAACGTGTTACTCGAGCAACTGAATGGATTTTAAAACTATTAGACGATACAACTAGCAATTGACAAAGGGTATACTCATAAACCTTCTTTTCTGACAACTCTTCAGTTTCACTGACGAAAGGTAGTGAATTCTTCCTGAAATGTCTAAACCGTTTCCAAAATCATATCCAGTTGCTTGAGTAACTGTTTTTTTTTGGAGTGACGATACACCTAGCAACTGACGAAAAGGGTATACTTTTAAACCTTTTCTGACAACTCTTCAGTGTCACTGACGAAATGCAGTGGATTCTACATGAAATGTCTGGCCGTTTGCAAAGCCTACTTGAATCGTTTCTTGAGTATCCCATTCCCTGGATGTCTAGCCTTCATAACGTGCTGCGTCTCTATTTTTTTGCAGTTCACGCAGTGTCTTACCGGGTTCGTCCGGAGTCGGTAGCCGTACGTGAGGGACAGACGGCAACGCTACGATGTGCCTTCATCGGATTAACAGCACAGAGTGTTGTCTTCTGGGAAGGGCCGCCAAACTTTGCCGTCATATCCACGGGTCGAGAGGTCGACCCTCGCTACACAAGACATCGCATCACAGGAGATCCTTCAAGAGGAGAGTACCATCTAGAAATCAAAGACGTCAACCTCCTAGAAGAAGGAGGCTACAGATGCAGTACTCTCGGTCTTACTGAGAAGGCCGAAGTAACTTTGAACGTAGTGGGTATGCACTCTACCGCACTTTATTTGTTCGCGATATATATCTTTACGATACACTTTTTCTACTTATCTCAGCTCTCTTTCTACTTAAAAGAGATTGTGTATCTGTCAACTTTTTGCTTGGCAAGATGATACCAAAGGGTAGATGGCGTCTGAAATGATATACGCTATTTTGATCTAGAAGGAGGAAAGTATTAGGTTGTCTATTACAATCTCCATCATGATGTGTGTGCTCGAACCAGGGGATGATAGAAAAGGTGAATGTCTACAATGATTATGTGTGCTCACGCATTGGGAATGGAAACTACAGAGGCTGTCTACGATGATCAACTTTATAATGTTTACACACAAGGGGGTAACACGCCAGTGTAGTCTGCGACGATAATCTGGATTATGTACCTATCCTACATCAAGAGAATAGGGGATTTCTCTTGTCTCAAGTAATTCTTGTCATTATATTTATTCCTAACTGAGACAGCAAAGGGCAAATACTTCCGTAAAATATTTATGTTTTCGACAAAGTTGAGGATATGATAGTCTGTCAAAATTCATTGTCATCAAATGTTTACCTTCGCGTCGGTGTGCCATTTTTTTCTTTATTTATTCGTAAAGATTTACCACATTTTGTGGAAGTATTGACATAACAGGTGACTATCACCTCTTCAAGATGTCAAACCTGAGACCGGACTGTAAGGTTTGAACCACTCACACCGGAGAGGTCCCCTACTCATTTTCGATAAGTGTGGTGGGTTCTTTAACGTACGTACGGTGTGGCTCTCCACAAACACGGAACCTTCAGTTAACTTACTATCCGAGTAAAGTCATTGACCGAAGCTACTTGGTACTAATTTACACCCGAGTGAATCGATAAAAGTCGTGTAAAGTGCCTTTTCCAAATGCTCAAGTTCGGGCAGGATTCGAACCCGGGACCTCTTTGGTCTGAGCCGAACACTCTACCGTTTGCCCCACGACCCCCTTTTTTTGTTGTATACTTTTACATTCTGATAACGAATGTTTTGTAATATAACTTCTTATCACATGTTTTATTCAATCTGTATACGTAACTTCCAATACAAGAAATTTTGGACTTCGACAAATTTTTTACTGTGAAATTTTAGTCTTTGTCACCCGGAGTGAGCAATCCACCGCTTCTGTGATGTCACGTTTCTGCAAATGAACAGGTGACTCAATGAGCAGTGGATCAGAAATTCAGAAAGTCTGTGGGGCCCTCCGTCTTTGTTGAGGGATGGCTGCAATGCCCTGATTTTTCCATCTATTGTAATCTTCGCCCGCAGTTCCAATGAAGACCCCTCCCAAAATCACCGGACGTGACGTCACATTCACAGCCAGACAACCAATGACGTTAACCTGCATGGCGACTGACGGGAACCCCCTCCCCAGACTGAGATGGTTCAACGGAACTAAACTATTGCAACAGGTAGGGCCAGTCTGTTTTAGCTACTCGTTTTCTTTAAAGAATATGGAGGGGGGGGGGGGCAACATAATTTTTCTTTCGACGAATCACGAATCTTGTAAGCCCGAATAAAAGCAATTGGACGTCTACGCATATTTATCTCGGTGGTTCAATAATAATTTCCAAGCAGAACCTAGGGTGGCAAAAGACAGTATAGAATTTGCCAGTCAGTATCCATTCGCCAGAGAGGGTTTAAGGGTAGCGTATTGGACCCTCTCTGGCCAATGGATATTGCATCGCCAATTTGATACTGTATTTTGCCACCTTGGGATCTGCTTGGAGTTTAGCTCGATGATCTTTACAGTCAATTATATTACAATATTTTGTAAAACAGTCAGTCTGATTATTTTTATCATTTTCGAGGTTTAATAACCAAACGTTTTCCTGCCACAGACTCCTGAGAACGCCATGGCGGAAGTCGTTTCAAGTGTCAGCCTCGACTTGGTGATTCCGGAAGTTGCCAGATGGGATCATGGGAAGAATGTGACCTGTGTGGCTGACCAAGGTTATCCTGACCTCACAACAACAATGGCGTCGTCCACGATACTGAACGTTCATTGTAGGTGTGACGTTCTGTATACGACGTTGACTTCAACTTCTGTCCAAGAAATGTGACACCGCAAGGCGTTCTAGTTTACTAACCTGTTGGAAAACACAAAGGAATTAGTCTAGTACCAAATGATGATTTTAAATTCAGTATTACAATAACCATTATGTTAGTTAATTAAGGTAAACATTTTACATCGATAAAAATATATCAAGTCAAAGAAATTCGGTTGATTAAAAGTATTCTAAAATCTTTATAATATATACAGAACAATAACACGGATGTACAATAACATCCATGTGCTCAGATTCTCCGATAGTGCGGAGTAGAAGACAGACCATCCGAGCTACCGAAGGCGAGACGATAGACCTGAGCTGTGACGTAGACAGTAATCCCCCAGCCGACGTCTCCTGGAAGAAAATAGACGGAAGCATTCCAGGAAATGCGGAAATTAGGTAGGAGTCTACTTGAAGTCATTTATATCACTATATGACGTACGTATTGATAGACATGTACGTAGTCAACTAGAAAATACTTGTTGCGAAACTTGTCATGTTTTGTACCTAGTGCAACTGGTATGCAATACAAATCACCCATTCGTAGTTATTGTCTTAGCACATTTATAATCGAATACCATTTAATATTGGCTTCTTGGGAGGAATCACGTGTAACTAACAACTATATTTTGTACTGTCCTCATCATCGGTACGGCCAGTGATATTGATTGAATGGTGTTCTCTCTCTTTTTTGCTGGTGATGCAGAGGGAATGCGTTGCACCTACCGAAACTGAGCAGAAGTGCAGCTGGTGCCTACAAGTGTCTTGCTGACAATGGCATCCTGCCAAGTGGAGAAGGCTCCATTACATTGATAGTACTTTGTAAGTTTTCTCATAAAATCTGTTAGATTTTTTAAAAACTGGAATTTAATTTTTGCTTGCCCCATGCTTTCTGATTTAGCCTCAGTCGACATGTGTAATGTCTCAGCAACGTATGACATTTCCATATGTCATTTAGATCCGCCTCGAATCACGTCTGGTTTCGAAGATAAAACAAGCGCACTGGCCGGTGGGGAGGGATTTTCTCTCTCATGCGAGGCGGAAGGATATCCAAAACCCCGAATACGGTGGAGGCGGAAGGGTACAAAGCTGTACTTTGACAACCCGCTGCAGTTTACACAGATTGACTACGACATGGAGGGAGATTACGAATGCGTGGCTTCCAACGGCCAGATAAGGAACGCCGTGAGACAAACCTTCGTGGATGTCATTGGTGAGCGCCGATAACTCATTATTTTCTATATGATCCATGTAGTTTTCAATAGACCAGACAGGGGGCGCATGTATGTTTCTGACAAACAAAACATGGTACAATGGTTCGTCAAAGGGCAATGTAGCTAATGCTTGCTCAATTATTAATTGCACAGTTGATTAGTCGAATTAGTAATGTAATGTAAGATTTTTTCAATTATGTTTAACGTGAAGAAAAACATTTTTTTTATCTATTTCCTTCTCTTGTTCTTCTCTAAACCAATTAGGTCAATGACCTCAACCAGACGTCTGTCACCATGGTAATTAGTGTTGGGATTCATCATGTTGCAATTTTATAGAAGGAAGGATTTAGACTCCTGTCTGACCATATATATATATATGGATGTGTTTGAGTAAGATTTAACAGAACAGACCATATGCGAAGGCTAATATTGTGCATTTGCTATGCAAATGTTACCTTTCTTGTTATACTTGGAGCTTTGTCAAATCATTTTTTTTTCTTTCCCACAAAGGAAAACCGTACATCAACACGGTGAGTTTGAAAGTGTCCGTGCGGTCCGGAGACACGGCTAGACTGGTGTGTGAGATTCTGTCCGACCCGCTTCCTGAAGAGACAAGATGGCTGCGGCGTGGGCCCGGTCAACAGGACAAACCGGTCACAGCCAGTCAGCGACCGGGCATCAGGTAATTTCTCTTAAGATTAAAGAAAGATCCATAATTAGCATATTGATAACTAATACGTTATTGCAACAAAGGTGTATTTCGTCCAAAACGTACCATGGCATAAAAACAAAGTAAATTTTACGAACAAAAGTCATTATTCCATAACCAATTAGAATACTAAAACTATGTAATGCGAAAGACCACAATTCCCAACCCGGGGCCCTACCGGCCGGGCAGTTTTCATAAACGAAAAGTATGATATAAAAGACAACAAACACAAAGATGAAAAATACTATTCTGTTTGAGTATTATTTGTGTGTATTACTGGTCATATGGATTTTTAATCTTTGGTCCACACAGATAGCCAGGCCGGGCCCAAGTTTGAAAATACCACCTTTACAGACGTTACGGATTAACTTTTCTTTTACATTTCACGTTTAAAGACAAGAGGAGAGAACGTCCAGTAGAGGCGTGACGAACACCCTGGTGATCTCTCACGTCGGCCGTTCAGACGGCGGAGTTTACGTCTGTGAGACAACAAACACCTTCGGCACCTTCCAGAGGGAGTTCAGCATGGACGTCAAAGGTAAGCCGTAAAGTCTCGTATGAATACGGTCACGTGTCTCTAACCGTAACTCTCGCGAGATTACGTTTTGAAGTGATTGGTCATTTATCATCCTGATGAAGGCGACAGTGGTCGCTAAAAATTTGATCTCTGTGTAAGATTTGTGTTGGAATAAAGTTCAACATTACAATACATGTACCAAATCACCAAGTCATTAGGTACGCGAAGAATATTGTATGTCGTTTACTTATGCTTTTGTTAAAATCACATACGTCTACAAGAAAAAAAACCATCATATTTTCTTCAGATACCAACTTGCATACACGACAAGATCGTAGTAAAATATTTTCTTAGAGATGACTCGATGAGGTACGTCGATTTTGATGAATACATGGTATTCTCATTTTGTGACTTTATCCTGATATACGGTTCTAACATGAAAAAGTAATAATTTATGTTGTATCACGTTTTCCCTGCCGTAGCCACGAATACTCAAGCCGTTGTCATCGCTTCCGTCACCGTCATCGTTCTACTGATTCTGTTCGCTACAATTTTCGTCTGCATCGCCAAGAGGACAGGGTTGTCAGAAAGGGTCAGACGTGGTTAGTAACAGATCTTACAGGGCATATTTAGCCACATTCACCATGATTTCTCTCTCTCCCTTTATGTATATCTATCTATATACTCTCATCTTTATTTGTAAGATGCCCGTTGTGAGAAGTAAGGAGATACAATGATTGCATGTTTGTGACATGTTCAAAACATTCAAACTATTTGATATATATGTTTACCTTCGTGGAAGACGAACATATCGTTTTTGCTCAATTTATTCTTCTTCCTTTTCTCCAAAGAAAAATGTCAATGACCTGGTCCAGACGTCTGTCACCACGGTACCTGTAGCAAACACCAGGTGACCTTGTGGTTTTGTATTACATTTTGTAGCAGAACAGAGTTTTAGGGGATGGTCACTATTTTATGAATGTGTGTTTGGGTAAGTATAAACATGGTGTTAGTTTGTTTGGCTAAACCATGAAAAGTTAAACATTACACTTTGCAAATATCACCATCTAGTTGCTAATGTTTATGTCTGATTCCACAGAGAAAGCGTCTTCTCCAGACCTGACCCTCCCCCGAGCTCTCCCCCCGATCCCGTCATACATGGTTCCGGTGGGGTCAGACGATGTTGATGATCTGGAGCTGCAGGACTTTAAGGGGACCCTGAAGCCTCGACCTCCCCCCAGGACGGACCTAGAGCCCTACTCCATCGGTCTTTCCTACCCAAGTAGGTACTTACCATCTCTCTCTATATAGCTAGTCAATATAGATATAAATAAATCACTATTCCCTGTAAAATCAGCTTCCTTGTACGTAATTTTGAAAAAAAAATCAACTGAACAACAGTGTGCATGTACAATGTACTGTACAAGAAAGCAGTTGCTCTCTTCGTTTTATCTAAAGACTAGCGACTAACGAGATCTGTGGTTAAACAAGAAACTGTCCGAATTTGCCACTGACTAAAAGTAGTTACCTGTTCAACTACTGTTACCTGTTCATTGCAGATTCAGGTAATGCTACTTTAAACGTCCGGCAGTTTTCAAAATCTATCCAGTTGCTTGAGTTCTTGTGTACCTCGTAACATTGATATCTAACCTTCAAAAACGTAGCAGTGTCAATACTTTAACGTTAAAATTTGTTAAAGTTTGACTGTATTCCTCTGAGATTTACGGAAAAAATAATTTTTGACAGTTTTACCCCCCCCCCAATAATATAAATGACGTTATAATGACGTCATAATTACACCAAAGTTGTTGTAATGAATCAATTTTTTTACTGCACTATTCTCTAAAAAATTGGTGGCCCTACGTTAAGTGGTTGTTGACTTATAGGGGGAAGGCCTTAAAAGACCCCCCCTCCCGGTCACAGCATGCCCCAAAAAGCCCATTCTGAATAGGGTTAATAGGGTTAAAAGGATAGTAGCTTTTAGATGTGAATGCAATCTTATTGCCACGCACTTTCGTACCAACTGACCCCTGTAGGTTTGATGCACCCCCTCCCGCCCTACTCCACTGTGGAGAGACAGAGGCCGGACGGGGAGGACAACATGGTGGACTCGCCCTACCTGGAAGATCCCTGGGAAATGGAGGTCGGTGCGCGATTCACACATTACGAAATATCCTTTATTCACATATTCCGGGATATTCTTTAAAGGAACATTATGTAACATGCACCAAAAATATTTTTGCTACTATTTCACATTTCTTATTTGTGTGGTTAGCGAAAAAATAGTTTGCACTTATTTTGTGGCACCACCATAAATATCAGACAAATACCTTGCGGACAAACATGACTGACAGCTGTGTTTCCACGTGTATGGTGTAATAATTTGGCACATATACTTCCTGAATTATGACACGTACTTAGAGTAGGCCTCATTTAATTTGATCTGTAGAATTTTATAAAAACGGACCGCACAATGACATTTTCTTTCTTTTTGCACTTTAGGGTTTTGTGGTACCACCGTCTCTTCCTCCCAAGAATCGTGCGGACAAAAGGATCAACGCCATTACCCAATGTTGAGACTATAACCATTGAAGGTGTTCCTCGCCGTTGCCGACGTGATGCCCCTGGACGTTATTACGGCTGATACTAGCTCATGGATTGCGATCATTGTTTTTTCTGTATGTGAACAACAATAAAGTAAGCTCTACGGCGTGGGGCGCTCTACGTATCCTGACGAAATGGACACAACTGTTTGGTGGAGAAGGCTGTTAGCATCTTGACTCTAGCCATAATTACGCTGTACACATGTATTCAGTTAATTGTAAAACATCACTTCACATACTCGTTGTTTTTAATGTGTTTTGAATGGTGTATCTAACGATTCACGAAATACTATAAGGTAAAGAAAAATAATGTTTGGTAACATTTTGTCGGTAGAATGTTAAAATATCAAATCATAGCACTTGTAAAATATATTTGGGAAATTTCATTCTATTTCATGAAATTGATAACACTGGGATACATATAGACATAATGTTTTCCATACATATTTTCCACCAATGTTCAAAAAGCGTTTATTGACTGACGACAGATGGTTATTGACATTTTCCCTTGTACCAAATGTACAGTAGACAAGTCGGCTTCTGGTATCCTAATACGTTTAATACTTGCTCATCTCTTATCAGGTGTTGTAATTATCAGTGTAAATCCTTCTAAGACGACAGTGAAACCTGCATCGTGATCGGAAAAAATATTAATGTACCGAATCGACAAATGGGAGGAAGCTTAGTTATCATCTGTGAATATCATCCGTTAAGCCCCTGTCACATATTCAGAGACTTCCCCCGATCATTAACCAACCAAGGTTGGGAGTAGGTTGGAAGCAGTTTGTGCAGATATTTTATCAAATGTATTGTTTTATTGTATTTCGTGTAATGTTAATGTCTCTTGTTTGTTTTAAGTAATTAAAATTTGAAACTGTGTTTTCTATGTTGCTGTGGTCCAGGGTGGCCAAATAGCAAAGGTCTAAGTTCAAGTCTGACCAGATTTAGGCCATGCCTACGTTTTGATCGAATCGAATTTGAGTTAAAGTTGAGTCAAAATTGACGTCCAGCCCACCATTGCTAATCGAAATATAATCGAAATAATCGATAAAAATGATGATAATCGAAAGCGGTAATGTACTTTGAGCCACCAGCCAACCACCGGCCAACCAGTACCCAACCATAGCCCAACCTCTCGTTGGTTGTGTCGGTTGTGTTCGGTAGGCAATTTTGGACTATGTGTAACAGAAGTTTTGAATTCTAAAGTCGTCTTGCCCATTTATATTCCCTTGGAAAACACCCACTACGGAATGGCAGTATCCAGTTGAATAAATGTAAAGATAAACTCTATCATTTCATCCGACAACGCTTTCAGCACGCAGTGTGGGTGTCATCCTTCAATGTTTCCTTTGTGAAAATATATTGTTTCACTCCAGCCCAGTAACCTTTCTTGCTGTCTGTGTTGGTGTACTTTATTAATAGGCCTCAATTTGCAAGCAAGATGGGAATAGGATATGTGTTGCCCTGGGGGATTTGGATAACGGTATACGTAGGAGGTCCTTTTATCAGATAACACATCCAGTTGGAAAGATGAATTGCACACACTGCTGGTGCGTTCTGCTGCCGAATCGAATTGAAGGACCGTACGTTTTCTGGTTCATATAATTCTCAGTTGAAATTGATAGCCAAGAGTTGTATATTTGACAGTTAGTATTTCCGCCATGTCTGTGTTCGTTAGGGCATGTACATATGTAGCTTGGGCTATTCTAATTCAAATAAAGCTGGGCTGGTACCTTATTCAACTTTTAGTAAATGGCCTTTTCCAGTACTTCTGCAGATCGTGCCTGCTCGAAAGCCGTAATGTATTGTGCATAGCACTTCGGTAGCATCTCTCGTTTAAGGTCACATATTTAATGGTGACAGCCTGTCTTTAGTCTACACATGTGTCGGAAATGATATCGGTTACAACGGGCAAAATTATGATTTGATTTATTGAAACTGTAACAATACAATACAATACACGTGGGGCAAAGGCAGCTATCCCACACATGGATTCACAAATACAAGACGGACCACTCATTTTCACTTGAAATCAGCTAGCGCTAGCGGAAAGTCGTATTAAGTGCCTTTCCCAGGGGCACAAGATCGGTGGCATCTCAGGACTCGAACCCGGGACCTCTTGGTTCCGAGTCGAGCACTCTGCCGTTACACCACACGACCCCACCAGCAAAATTCTGATGCAACATTGATCAAACTTCCAACTTCACAGTCAAAAAGTGGTGGTTGCCACACATGTACCTGAAACGTCTGACAGTTTTTAAAATCTATCCAGCTGCTTAACGTAACATTTTTCTTGTGTAAAATTGCCGGAGTTATATGACTCCCTTTTGAATGTCTACCTTACACCTGTCACATCACATCGGGGTGTTTTGCCTTATACGACAGCAATAATCTTATCAACTTATCAAAAGAAGCCAGCTTCTGTGAAAAATTAAATCCCATGTCTGCCTGTAAATCATGTTTATGTATTACCATGAGCCGTTTCATGTGGAGGAAATATGCAGAGCTGAATCCTTAGTGAGTTGTACTGACAGGATATGGATGTAGCATTTGCTGAAATCAGCTAGCGGTAAGTTACAAGCGTAGAGATCATGCTGACTTGGTAGGTTTGGAATTGATGATGGAACCAAAAACGCTATTCTTTCCTGGTTGAGTAGTAATAAGTTTATTGCAAATTCCTGCCCAAGGGCTAATTGTAAATAAGAAAGATAAAAGAACATTTAAACTGGATACGAAATTTACTTCACAATTTACATAATAACACGAGGTAATTGTCTAAAACTATAGCTATGTATAGAACTATGTCTAAAGGGTTTGACTTCTCTTTTGTAAACCATGGAAGACGTAATGTACCATCTTTTCCAAACTTTGTAAGTTTTGGATAGTTAAAAGAAGAATAGTTTTTTTCTTTCGTCTGTCAAGTTCAGAGAAATTGTTGAGTTTGAATAGACAACTCATTTCCTTTTGCTCCTTCTTCCTCTAAATGCAATTACATCTAAACCAGTTGTCATGACATTGACTGTGTTACAGCTATTGTATAGTTAACTAGATGAAATACCATACGTATTCTGTATGCGTACATCGCATGAGCTTGTACTAATAGGTTCCTTTAGATAGTTGAAAACGCATCGATCAGAGTATATGGAGGGGCATATTATATCCATTTAGTGTCACATTACCAACAATACTATGTAAATCAAGCAATACCCCCGCAGAGTAAGTGAGTTGCTACGTTACGTTACAACATCCTGCGTGTGGTGAATGTATCTGAACGATAACACCTGAGCCAAACCGAAGACTTGCTTTACATTTCAACAAACAAACAAACAAACAAACAAACAAACAAACAAACAGGCAAACAGACAAACAAGCAAATGTAAATATAGGATGGCCACCAAAATGTTTCCTAGCTTTCTTCACCTCCCCAGCCTCCAAAAAAATGCATTTCTATTAAACCTCCCAATTTATATATCTCGCAAAATGTCGGGCATTTCATACTCCATTGCGCACAGAAAAGAAATCAAACCCAACATCTATAACAAAAGTAGCATTAGCATTTTAAAAGTTTGCTTATTATCATTTTTTACTGTTTATTATTTTATCATGTTATTGCCGTTAGCCCTAGGTCATGTATTTGCAATAAACTTTCAATTTTGAAATAATTTAGAATCTACGATTTTTGATTGCGCTGGTTTCGAGTATATGGTTATCTTTATAGTGGTAACTTTCAACACACGGATCGAAACGATGCTCACTATACGGAACGAAAAGCACTTCAATAACAATAAAGCAGCCAAGAGACCATTTGAAATAATATGGTAATCAAAGGCAAAGCTGAAACATCAAAGTTATGGTCGTGGTAATACATTTGGAGTACGGGCAGGCCCAAACCACGTGGTCCATTACTGCATACGCACTACGGGTGAAGCGTTGTCTGGTTTTATCATGTAATGTTAATGGTGATGCTGGCTGATCCCACTGGACATATAACACCCACATGTTTGAGCTTCAGAAGGGCTGAAATCCCTATAATGCCGTCAAACTGGGGCAAAACTGCGTTGATTTCCATCTTTCCCAGCTAGCCAAAAACATACCGGGCTTTGAGTAGACGTGCAGTATCATTTTAAAACGTGTGTACTGTCAACCCGAATATAGCTTTATATACATTAGGTAGGTTTTAGCTTTTGACTCTTGTAGTGAAATGAGCTCGCTGATGACTTGGCTTCCAGACAAAGATAATGCAACAGAGATCAGTATATAGTAACTGATGATGATGGCTGGTACTTCGTGTCCGAATATTCTAGGAAGGTTGTCCTCTGCTACAGGCCCTCATGTGGTTGTGAAATCCGATCTTTGACCTGCAAGTCCTGTGGTAGGATTGGCATGTGAATCTCTGTGCTGGTGATGACTGGGTAACTATACACACACTAAAGCATCAGGTTGAAAATGCTTTGCGTGCTTTGAAAACGTAATGTTCACCTACTCTGCAGAGCTTTGGGGTTTGGCTTTATTTGATGTATTTTCATGCGTTTTTATGGAGCTTTTCATATGTACTAGTATTCCTTTTTAAGGCAGCCAAACCTGTGGCAAATACATACATGTACCATCTTGCCTATTTGATACTTTCTTCCCAATTTGATACTGTCGTGCATCCAGCAAAACATCATCTTAGAGATTCGTGTTAGGGATAAAGCATTGCCTCGTCACAAATCTTCAAGCTGCTCTATTGCTCCATTCCCTGAGTGTCGTACCAAATAACCAAAACAGGCCCAACGCCGATGACCGTCGACGTAAAGATTCTCCATCTAAATTGCACTGTCAATGCCGATTATATTCAATACCTCATTTCATACGCTGGACTTTTTTTTGGACTACCAAGGAATTAACCGCAGCCTTGCAGACAGCTTTCAATATTCCCATCAACAAAACGCCATCTGTATTTATGTGCAATAGCTCGGCCTCTCACCCTTGTGCGCCTACTACCCGTAACCGTGCTCCGTAG